TCTATATACATCCTTACGTGTATATATATATATATATATATATATATATATATATATGTATACACTTATATTTAGATTTATACATGCAGGAGCTCAGAAGGTTGAGCAAAAATGGGTGGGATTTCTGATTTGCTCAGAATCAGGCTAGATTTGTATAGCTTTCCTCATTTACCTCGTCTCCTGACTTGGGAAAAAAGAAGACAATGGAGAGGATAATTCCGAAGAAGTAAAGAAGGAAGAAAACACGATCCAACAGAACGCCAACTGCGCGCCATTCCGCGGTGATTCGCTGTTGCCGCTCGGCTTTCGAATGGATGACCTGAAGCTGACGAATATATTGGGCAATTTCAGCCACATCTGAGGCCAAGTGCGGGACTTGTCGGTGCATCTTTTGCGGCCGAAGCCGGGATCTGCAGCCTCCATGTGCGTCACCAGCAGGAATAGGTATTGGATGTGAAATGGCCTTTTTGGTACTTGAGGCTCTAGGGTGTGGGTGTATGTGCGGGTGAGAGTGGTTGCCGGGCTGGTTGTCATGGTGGTGACAGGGGCAGTCGCCTCGACGATACTGTCCACTTTTTAGTTGCTGGCACGCCGAGCGGTGCAGCGAAGTTCGCTTAGGCCATTCAGGACAAAGCGAAAGACCAGTCTGGCCACAGGAATGTGGATACGTCGTCTGGATCGTGACACCCGTTCGGCTGAGCCTGCCTCCTGAGCAAAGACATGCGGTCAGCAGGTCTCGGCTCGAGTTTAGAGAAGACAGAGCATCCAACTTCTTCGAGACGTCAAAACAGGTAAGAAAGGCAACCATCTTTACTGCACCTGCAACTGACAGATTCTTATGTGGATAAGAAATCCTAGAAATCTAATTAAAGATTTACTGATAGTTTAGAAACTTCCTTTTTATGAATATGAGTAGCTTAGGCGATTGTAATAGCAAAATACGGGTTTGTGGGGCACACATTTTAGTTCGAATTGAAATTTGGTTGCGGATATTGTTGAGCTATTTCGTAAAGTATGGCTTCTTCTTATGACGATGCTACTCACATGACAGGAGAAAGCTTAGCACAGGTTTATCCGGGTCGCAGGAAGGTGAGCCAACTACTTCTTTGCACAATCCAACAGTCTTTACTTCAAGATAATCCTTCTTCATCTTCCAGTTAGACCAATTTACGGATGTTTTCGAAATTGAAAGTCGCGTCATACTAACTAAAAAATTCTTCAAAACCCAACTTTTCTTCATACATGCGAAAATACAAGTTTGCTCATCGATAATACCCATATAACTTTGATGAGGGAGAGGCCTGGCCTTCTTTGAAATTTAAGTCTTCCCTTTGACCCAAGGACACTCTAGCAGTGTGGCATGGCTGTAAAGTTCCGAGATTATACACTGTACAACCTAGATACGATTCCCACTGGCGATGCTGAGGTGACTGAGGCGAGGCCAAGAGAGCAATCCATCCTGGTTGAAAATATATTTAGTGAATAAAGGGTATATGACATTTAATGGTAAACGTACGGCTTACTCAATCCAGTGTGGGAACATTCAACTACCAGTCCATTACCTTGTGTGACCTAGGATGTCTAGAACTCTAATTCAAGATATATATATATATATATATATAT